TAGGTTCCCCTCCTCTAACAATTGGAGGCCACTTAAATGCCATAGTAACGTGGCATCTTTCTCCCCTCCTCCCTCCCCCAAATATCTGTGAGCCTAACTCAACAGAGGACCTGATGTTCCTCTTAGACCATTGGGGGAATTGGCACGTGTCCCCCAGGGGACTCCATTGGAGGTAATTTGGGGGCATGGCTGGCCAAGGAACAGCTGGTTCCCCAGTGCCTTAGCCCAATGCTTGTGGCTTCTTCCCCTCCACCCCACCCCCACAGGCCAGAGCGGAGCTGGTAACAACTGGGCCAAGGGGCACTACACAGAGGGGGCCGAGCTGGTGGACTCTGTGCTGGACGTGGTGAGGAAGGAGGCAGAGAGCTGTGACTGCCTGCAGGGCTTCCAGCTGACCCACTCTCTGGGTGGCGGCACCGGCTCGGGCATGGGCACGCTGCTGATCAGCAAGATCCGGGAGGAGTACCCCGACCGCATCATGAACACCTTCAGCGTGGTGCCGTCGCCCAAGGTCTCAGACACGGTGGTGGAGCCTTACAACGCTACCCTGTCTGTCCACCAGCTGGTGGAGAACACGGACGAGACCTACTGCATCGACAACGAGGCCCTGTACGACATCTGCTTCCGCACCCTCAAGCTGACCACCCCCACCTACGGCGACCTCAACCACCTGGTCTCGGCCACCATGAGCGGCGTCACCACCTGCCTCCGTTTCCCTGGGCAGCTCAACGCTGATCTCCGCAAGCTGGCCGTCAACATGGTGCCCTTCCCTCGTCTCCACTTCTTCATGCCTGGCTTTGCCCCCTTGACCAGCCGCGGCAGCCAGCAGTACCGGGCCTTGACCGTGCCGGAGCTGACCCAACAGGTCTTCGACGCTAAGAACATGATGGCGGCCTGTGACCCCCGCCACGGGCGCTACCTGACCGTGGCAGCCGTCTTCCGCGGCCGCATGTCCATGAAGGAGGTGGACGAGCAGATGCTGAACGTGCAGAACAAGAACAGCAGCTACTTCGTGGAGTGGATCCCCAACAACGTCAAGACGGCCGTGTGCGACATCCCACCCCGCGGGCTCAAGATGGCCGTCACTTTCATCGGCAACAGCACGGCCATCCAGGAGCTCTTCAAGCGCATCTCAGAGCAGTTCACCGCCATGTTCCGCCGCAAGGCTTTCCTCCACTGGTACACGGGCGAGGGCATGGACGAGATGGAGTTCACCGAGGCGGAGAGCAACATGAACGACTTGGTGTCTGAGTACCAGCAGTACCAGGACGCCACGGCCGAGGAGGAAGAGGACTTCGGGGAAGAGGCTGAAGAAGAAGCTTGAAGCTTCACCCGCCACCATAAACGCGCCCGCACAAATTAATTTTTTTTTTAAAAAAAACAAACACCCACATCGCATCATGTTCCAATTTTCTTTCTTTCTTTCTTTCTTCCTTCTCAACTGTCTTCTCCATCCAGGTTCCTCCAGGGCTGAGCTTACGCCGGTTCTGTGATCTCCCATGTAAACATCAGCTTGGGCATCGGAGCGAGAGATGCCACTTCTGCCGTCTCTCTCCGCCCCTCATCTGTCTTCTCTTCTTCCCCAGCACTAAGTTATTGTGAGGTTCTGTCTCCAATAAAAGTCAGATCCCCTTTCTCTGTAACTGTCTACATCCAATGGCATCTCTCCTCTGCTCTCTCTCAAAGAGGGAGTTTAAATTTTGCTGATTCTTCTCAGCCCATGCTCATCTCGCTGAGGTGTTCTTCAGGGATGGGAGAAGATGGAGTGTGGGGATAACAGAGGGCTCGGTTGGATTGTCTAAGATCTGAAGTGTAACCAAGGGATGTGCAAGATTAAAGTTCCCAAAGCAGGGTTGATAGGTTGTCCCTTCTTTGGCCCAGTGGCCTAGCAACCTGGAGCCAGGTTGTGAGAGAGAGCTGACTTCTTCCTGCTCTGGCCTTTATTGATGGAGCTTCTCGCATGTAGCTGTCATCCTGTAGGTAGCATCTGGCAGGTGTCAAACTCTTGTAGCAAAACCAGTAGAGGTGGGAGCTGTGAAGTGGATTAGCAGGAACAACATAGGTTGGTTTGTGGGAGCTCCCCCACCACTGGAGAAGGTGGGGGATGTGAGGCAGGTCTGGACCTGAGGAAGTCTAGTTGATTGCTTCTTAGACTGAGCAGAAGGTAGGAAGAGGTGGCCCTGAACTGGTTAGACCTTGCGGGCAATTAGATCACACCAACAGCTGAGGAGGAAGGTGAGAAGCAGAGCAGGCCTAGCAGAAACATCTGGCCCTACTTAGGGGAAGGAGATTCAATTTGCTTTTGCTGTTAGCAAGTCCCTCTGCTGCGCCTTCCTCCTCAAGGAGAATGAGCTTGTGGCTGAATGCAGTGGGACTTGGGGGAGGAGAGTCTAGTGGAGGGGAGAAGGGACAGAACCCAGGAGTCCTGCCCCCCCTGCTGGGGGAGGGGGACTCCAGGACCCCCAGGGTTAGATTTATGGGTCTGCTACTTGGGTGAGAGCTGCTCGGTCAAGGAACTCCTTCCCCCTCCTGGCTGGACGTGAGCATGTTTGCAAAGCTGTAGGAGATGCTGGAGCCCTGGGACAAAACCCCCCTAAACCTGTCTCTATACGACCCTGCTCAATGTGTCCCATTTGAAGGTCCCACCCACCAGGTGTGTGGATCTAAGTTCTGGAGCTGCCTGGCCTGCCCACACCCTCAAAGGGTGCGTCCCTGGCTTCCCCTAGTTAATATGCTTTCTGTTGGGGGGTCAGCCCCCAGCTTTTCCAGGCGGGGGCATCCCTCCCCTTTTCATTTCCATTCCTGCCCCTATGCTGAGGATTTGGCCCACAGATTTTATGGGGGGGGGGGAAGATTCTCTTCCTTGTATCAATTTGGCCCCAGATCAGGGGACCCCCATACCATCCATCTCCCCCGGTGCCCTAGATAAGTCAACTGAGCCATGTTCTCCAGGGATGAAAGGGCACCAAGCCACAGAGCCATGGTTCAGGGAGCTGGTCTCTACCATCTCAGCAGCTTTGGGGAAAGGGTCAGTGCAAGCCATGCGGCAGAAAGGAAAATCTCAGTCTAGGGCCCCTCATGCCCTATCCCACCTGACTCTCATTTCTTCTCCAGGTTGGGGGATGGTCCTGCTGGAAGCAAAGTGAGAGAGGCCCTGAAAGCTGGTTACATTGCAGTCAATGGACTGCAGGGAGGGGGTGAGAGCTGGGGCGGGAGGGGGTGCAGACCTGTAGCTGGGGAGGGGAGAGGCTGTGAATGTAGATTGTCCCCATGCCCATGTTCTCTGGGGCTCAGTTGTACCCCAAGGTCCTGCCACCGGGAATCAACCCCCAGCTCCCACCAGCTGAAGGGAGACAACTCAGCCCTGGAGGAATTAAAGGGGAAGAGAGTTGGGGGGGGGGGGGGAGAAAGAGACCCCCACGGATGTGGGTTCCAGCTGGCAGGTGACAATACAGCTGGAGGTCCCACCCGGTCTGGCTTCAGCTCAACTCTGTCCTGTCTGGCTCTGTCTTATCAGCTTGGTATCTTTTTTTTTTCCTCTCGCCTTCTCTATCTTTCTCTTGGTTTTTTTTAACTGCTTTTTTCATATTGAAAAGACGACGTTCTGCGAAAGAATAAACCAATTTTTTTTAAATTTTCCTGACTGTGTCCTAGCGCTTTGTGTGGGCAGGGGGGACGTGACCGCAGACGGAGGAGCCCCTGTGCCCCTCAGCACAGTAGCTTTAGGTGTCAGGAAAACTGCCCCAAATCACAGCCACTGCCCCTGAGTCTTGCTCCCCTCACCCCCAGCCCTGAGCTCCCCTCTCCCCAGCTCTGCTGGTGCCCCTCATTCCTGATGTGCAGCCCCTGCTAGCCCAGCCGTGGGGTTCTCTTCCTGCCCTACAGCACTGGTGCCCCTCACTCCTGACCCCCTGCTAGCCTAGCCCTGTGGGTTCCCCCCACCAGCTCCTGCTACCCAGCTGCCTTACCCCCAGCCCTGGGTTCCCCTCCCCCCCCCCCCCCCCAAGCACTGCCAGTGCCCCTCACTCCCACCATGCAGCAGCTGTGGGGCAGGGAAGTGCTGCAGGGGACGTGGCCAGGGGATGAGCTCATTGCTGGGGGCGGGGGGGGGGGTCAGCTGTGCCACGTGGCAGGGAAGCAGCAGGCGGGAGAGGAAATATGCCCCCCCATCCATTTCCATCGCCTCACCTCTGCCTTTTCTCCCACCCCCCCATTGTTTCCTTTCCCTCCACTTCCTCCCCCGCCCAGGTTAAACAAGGGGGCCGTGGGTCAGGAGGGAGGAGCTGGGGCAGACGGTCTCTCTCCCCCCAAATCATTCAGCCGGGTTTGTTCAGGCTTTAACAGGTTGAATCTCCAGCTTTCTGTCCCCAACCCCCCAAGCGAATGAGGAGCCAGGAGAACGGGGCCGTTCACACACTGGGGCGTTTAATGGTCTGGGGGTACAAGTACCAGCACAGGGGGTGACACATACACAGGCTCACTTACAATCAGGGGGGCAGAGAAGGCACCTTCATGCACCCGTCACATTCGGGGCACAGGATGGACACACAGAGAGGGGAGGGGGCACAGGGGCCCTGGCCCAGCTTCCAGGACCCCCCCAACCCCTTCCTGGGCACAGCCGCAGGGCAAGGGGGGATCGGGCCCCCTTCTGCCCTGGGTCTGGCAGGGGGGAGAGACATTGTAGGAGGTGGAAATGTGAGACGGGGACCCCTAGTGGTGGAGGGGGGTATAGCAGCTGGGGGTCTGTGTACAGATATGAAGCTTTTCCCCCTCTAGGGGGCACCAGCCACAGAGCAGTGGCTGGCTAAAGGGGATGGGGCACAGGGCCTTTCCCCTCTAGGGGGTGCTGGCAGTGATCCAGCCCTGGGGTGGGGAGGGAGGCAGGGGCCTGGCCGCCTTTCTCCTCTAGGGGGCCCTGGCTCCTAACCTGCCATTCCAGCCAAGTTGGCCCAGCGGGGGGGGGGGGGGGGGCAGAAGGCACAGCTGGTGGGGGGGGGGGGGGGGGGGGTGCGGAAGAGTTTACTTTGGTCACAGTGAGTGAGTGAAAATCAGTTTCGGCAGCGGAGGCGAAAGGGGGCACTGGCTTGAAATCCCCTCTGCCCCCTTTCATCCTGTGCCCCTTAGTGGCAATGAGATACCTACAGCTGCATCCCACCCCAACTCTCCTCCCCCCGTGTCTACCCCCCATCCAGAGGCGCCGCGAATGCTGGATCCTGGGGGCTATGCCCCATCCCCTCCCCAAAAGGGGTTCACTCCTGTCTTTTCCTGACCCACGCCTGGGGCTGGTGCTACGGAGGAGCAGCTAAAGCATTTACAGCCCTGGCTGGCCATGAAATACCAAACTCCAGAGCTCCCGGCAGCCGCCAACCGGCCGACCTGACATTTCACATCAGTCCGATTACCTTCTTGGCTTGCTTCTCCGACCCGGCTTCAGCAGCTGATATCTTACCAACGCCGCACGGTAGAGATGTGCGGCAGGTGTTGTTTCGAAGCTGGGGCTGTCGGCTTTCAGCCGGTATCTGACTTTTACTTGTGGTTTTAGCCAAAAGAGAGAGATGAGCTGCTAAATCCGGGCTGGTGCAAGGGAAAAGGAAGCCCGAGGGTTCTGAAAACGCTGGGGCTTTAAGGTGAGATATCTCAGGCTGCATTAGGAGTAGAATTAAGAGGTTGGTGGCATTGAAAAGAGGAAATCCCAAGCTTTCCTGCAGTATAAAGGGTTTGTTTCTCACTCTGCGGCTCTTGAGAAAACAGACTTCAAATCTGCACCTCCTGAATGACAATAAAGACATGGCGCCCGCCGTTCCAGAGCTGGAGGTGATGGAGCATCTCCTTCAGGATGATCTTGGATGTGAAGAGATGACGGAGCGAGGGGGTGGGTCTGTGGGGCTGATCCCCCAGGAATACAAGGTCCAGGCGAGGTTAGGGTGGTGTGGGAAGCAACCCCCCCCAGCTCTTCAGGGAGGGGGAGAGGTTGGGGGGCTGGCGAGGGTACACAGGAGGTGGCATTGACCCACGGGGCTCAGTGGCTGGTGCCCTGCACATCCCCCCCTCGGGGGCAGCCAGCATGAGGGGGGGCCTGAGATGCACACACAGCAAGGAGAATGGGGGGGGGGGGCTCAGGGACATGCGCGGCTCGGTGCAGAGCCCCCCTGACTTCCAGCGACTAAGACATTCGCCCCGGCTTCTTCTGACTCATCTGTGAGCAGGAGGCAAAACCGACAGGGGGAGCAGCGTCAGCATGTCGCTCCCAGGAACCCTGATCGCAGAACAGAGTCACGGACGCCTCTGGACCCCCTAGCAATGGGGGAAGGGAGTCAGGGAGAGAACCCAGGAGTCCTGGCTCCCAGTCCCTCCCCCCAGCCCCCACTCCCTGTCCAGAGCCAGAGGTAGAACCCAGGAGTCCTGGCTCCCAACCCGCCCCGCGCTCTAACCACTAGACCCCACTCCACTCCCGGAGATGGAGAGAGAACCCAGGAGTCCTGGCTCACCCCCCCCAACCACTAGACCCCACTCCCCTCCCAGAGAACCCATGAGTTCTGGCTCCCAGCCCCTACTGCTCTAACCCCCAGGCCCCATTCCCCTCCCAGAGCCAGGGATAGAACCCAGGAGACCTGGCTCCCATTCTCCCCTCCCCGCACCGCTCTAACCACTAGCCCCCACTCCCCTCCCCTCAGCTAGAACCCAGGCACCCTGGTGCCAGTACCTGGGAGATGCTGATGCCGGTGAGTTTCTCCACAGTGTCCGGGAGTTTGCTCATGATTTCCAGCACCTCCCCCGTCATCTTGGCTGCGCCCACGCCCTCGCTCCCACTCGACACCATAGTGATCTTCTTCACCGCGCTCAGCGGCTTGCTGATCTCCTCCGCCACCTGGGGGGAGGGGCGCCACGCCGCTCCATTATTGTAGGGTCTGCCTTAAGTGCTGGGGGCTGAGCTGGGTTATCATCACGGGGCCTCCCATATGGGCTGGGGGCTCTGCACACTGATTTGTTATTGTAGAGCTGGGGGCCAAGCAGGCTGGGGTGTTATTGTAGGGTCTCCTGTAAGGGCTGGGGCTTGTTATTGTAGGGTCTACCTTAAACGCTGGCGGTGAGCCACTTTGCTAAGGCTTTCCATAAGGGCTGGACGGGTTGTTTTTGCAGGGACTCTCGGGAGGGCTTGGGCTAGGCTGCTTTGTTATTGTAGGGTCTCCCAGGGAGCTGATCCTGCCCTCCCCCCGCCCTGGCCTCACCTGGGGCAGCTTCTCCAGCAGCATGTCGACCATGGCGGCGTCCTGGTACTGCTGGAACGCCTCCGCCTTCTTGGCCATCTGCTCGGCATCTGCCCGCGCCTTGGCTTCGATGGCGAACGCCTGCGCCTCCCCCTTCACCTGCATGGAGGGGGGGGGCGTGATCAGTGCTGGGGGTGGATAGCACCCTGCCCACCACTGCCGTCTCGGACACCTGGGTCCCATCCCAGCCTCCAGCCCCCCTAGGGGTGAGAGCCCTGCGCTGCCGTCCCGGACACCTGGGTCCCATCCTGGCCTCCAGCCCCCCCAGGGGTGAGAGCCCCACGCTGCCGTCCCGGACGCCTGGGTCCCATCCGCGTTGCAAGGCTGGGAGGGGCGAGCGCCAGACTCACCCTCAGGGACTCTGCTTCAGCCTCCGCCTGCATGAGGTGCTGGGGCGGGGGGGGGGGGGGGGGGGGCGGGGTCACGGGGGCGGGGGGGGGGGGGGGGGGGGGGGGGGACGCTGAGCGGAGAGGCTGGGAGCAGGGAGCTGGCAGCAGAGGTTTGTGGGGAAGGAGGGTGCTGAGGGGTGAGCAGGGGGTTCAGGAGAAGGAGCGGTGGATAAGGCTTGTTGTGTGGGGCACAGGATGGGGGAAGGGATTGGAGCGGGGCACTGGATGGGGAGGTGAGGAGTGGGGCAGGGTGCTGGGGGACGGGATCGGAGTGGGGCGTGGGATGGGGAGGTGAGGGGCAGGGGGAGGTGCTGGGGGAGGGGATCGGAGCAAGGCACGGGATGGGGAGGGGGGGGGGAGGGGGGGGGGATCGGAGCGGGGCGCGGGATGGGGAGGTGAGGGGCGCGGGGCGGGGTGCTGGGGGAGGGGATCGGAGCAGGGCACTGGATGGGATGGGGAGGGGTGCTGGGGGGTAGGGTACTGGGGGAGGGGATCGGAGCAGGGCGCGGGATGGGGAGGTGAGAGGCAGGGTGTTGGGGGGGCGTTGGGTGAGGGGGTGGGGATCAGAGGCGGGGCACCATGTGCGGGGAGGCAGGCTGAGGCTGGCAGGGAGCCCCGGGGGGGATCGGGGACGGGGCGCCAGGGTACGGCCGCAGACCCAGCTGGGAAGGGGTCGCGGGGCGGTGTCCAGGCCGGAAGCGTTCGGCCCAGCTGGGTCTCAGGAGTGGCTGGAGGGCGGCGTGGGGAGAGGGCGGCTGGGGGGGGGGGGGGGGGG